CAGCACTATCAGAATGGAATGGGTCTAAGTATTTTTCCTGATGGAGAAAAATAGCCATAAAAAAAAGATTGTCGCTATTTATGAACATTGAGTTGCTAGGTGACATCATGTGATGCTCACTGCTTAAATTGCCACCCACAGTTTTCAGGCAACAGTAGTAGGGATGGGGGGAGGGGAAGACGAAAAATTAAAAGAACAAGAGTTACTGTAAAAAAAATAAACCCTTATAGATTTGGAAAACAAACAAACAAAAAACCAAAACCAAAATGAGCAGTCCAAAAATAACATATTTCTTCTCTCCCTTTTCTAGCAGACTCCATTAAGAATGGCTGAATAGCTTCTTGCAGAAGCAACACTAATGAATCATCTGGCAAAGAAAATCTAAGAGCCCAATGTAAAGGTGAGTCACTTTCTATTATATATACATCCTTGTCTATTAATCTGTGTGTATGAGAGAAAGAAAGAGACTGAGAGTGTGTGTGTGTGTGTGTGTTAGGGACAAGCAGTGCCAGTTATTACTAAGGTTGCCTGACACCGTTTTCAGAGCTTATAACTGCCAAACTTTCCCTGTTTGGGCTCAAATTATCTATGCAGGGTGTCTTCCACAGAATGAATCTTCATCAAATATTTCAGTGGTTTCAGAGAATGAGACTAATAAAAATATGCTGTTTTTTCGAAGCTAAAAAACTGGCCACCATTTTTTTAACCACTCTATTGCCCTCATGCTGTGGAGCTGGAATTTAAAACTCGGCAGCAGATGGCCTTTGTGTCAGGCACGTGCATTTTGCCTCCCAAATTTGCCCAACTATAATCCTTTGAACGACTACAGTTTGGTCACATTTAAATAAAGATTTCTTCTATTCTAGCAGCTAAAATCTCTGAAGTATGCTATAGCCTCTCACAGCTCCTAGTACTGGCCAGACTGAACATATTTCCTCCAACCTAAGATGGCAAAGGCAAAACTGGATTTTCCTTATCAATGGCTACTCCCAGCTGCTCCAAACAAGCTGATCAATGAGAATAGAAAGCCAGTCTCTGGCACTTTTTCACTGACCTCCCTGATAGTATTCATAAAACATGGGAGAGGAAGCTATGTGTTCTAAATGCAGTGGGGACAAAAGCCAAAGTAATGGGGAGGGAAAGAAGTACATTAGAATAAATAGCCTGCTATGCCTGGAACTGTAGAGAGGGAGCATAAGATTCACGGTGATCCTGGGTTAATGTGTATGAAGACCAAAACTGGAAGCCAGAGAGCAGAAGCTGGGACTGAGAGCAAAGGCTGGGACTGGACACTGGGACTGGTTGGGCAAAGCAATAAGGGCTTGGACAGGGAAGTTGGGGTTGGAATCCAGAACCAATGGGTCTTGGTTGGATAGAGATTGGGACGAGTAGACACGGGGAATGAAGTTGAACTAGTTGGGTCAGGAGACTGCATCTGGGAACAATTGTGGGAGGGAACAGGGGAGCAGAGCAGCAAGATTGAGACGAGGAGCCAGACCAAGATTTGAACTAACGATGGAAACAATATGTGCAGGGAAGGAGAAGAGACAAAGGGAGGAGGATAAGAACCACTGGAGGGGACAGATCAATTGGATAGGAGCTGTGGGGGACTGAGATTGATTGATAGGGGCCACTGATACTAGAGTCTTTTTTATAAAGAGATTTGAAATTAAATACAACAATAATTTAAAAGATTAAAACTATTAAAAACATTATTGACGTTGTAAAGTCTAGCAGTCAAAAGTAACATAGGCTCCTAACTGGATAAGCTGGAGCAAGAGAGTTTCTGAAATCCTAAGCCCCTGCTCTATTCTTCATTTCTAATGGAGATGAAAAAAATTATCTTTTCTGTTATGGTATCTGAAATGTCATGGCTCATTGGAACATCCTGGGTTTTGGACACAGAATTCCTAGATTGTGCCTTCACTGGAGACTCACCTGGGTGATTTGTACCTAGGTTACCCTAGCCCAGGAGACACCAGCCATACTGGAAAGTCACATTCAAGTTAACTGGATCCTCACTGGTGCTCCTGTGTGTTGCTAAGACTTTTGGAGGCACATCCAATGGGTCTTTGTGTTACTGCAAATTGAATCATTCTGTGATTCTTTCCCAGCGAACTGTGGGAGAAATTGTCTGTCCTTTTGGGCACATGGGTCATGCATGAGAAGATACTGGAGGATTACCAGCACTTGTATGCTTTAGCCTCTATCTTCACAGCCAATTGGATGAGCTGTCTGCCCAAATAAAGGCACTACCATGGCTTTAGTCTGTAGTTCCAGACAAGCCAAGAAGCTCAGGTTGAAAGCACTAGGAAATATGAGTTAGAGATTTTTGTGTACGGACAGGAGGAGGCTGGGGGCAACAACCAAGAGCAAAGGTTAATTCTGCAGTAAAGATATGCCATTAATAGACGCTCATTGACTCTGGAAGTTGTTTCCTTTACTAATCCAGCAAAGCTCAAGTCTTCTCTCAGACTTTCACATAAGGAGGAAAGGGTAGGGCATTTCATTTACTCTCTGAAAGAACTTATTAACATCCAGAATATAAACTATTTAAATACTGCATATGAAACCAATGTTCTGCAATTATCCCCTTTCATGTGTTATCACTTGTAACACCATACTTGCATGAACATAAATCTGTGCGAATTTGAGGGAGTTAAGAATTTGTGGTACAAAAAGACACCAAGCTGTGTTGTGATCAAAAAGGCTGAAAACAAAAGTGTATTACCAGTGTTTCCTCCTTTCTCACACTATCCTTCTGCTTTTTTGCCAGCCAAACAAGTTGTTCTTGTGTAGTTCTCAAAATATTCACACCTCTTTTCATATCAAAGGATTATTTTCTCCTCAACTTCCTGGACCAATTTTCCTTCTACTTCTCTGTATATAAAGCCATAAATAATATGTCCAACTTATTTTTTACCCATGTTTCTCCAAAGAGGCTCAGTTTATTGAAGCTGTCCCCAATTTCCATCAAGCATCCTCATCTGTCTTAAGATTTGGGACTGTCTTGATATAAGGATGCCATTTGGAAAATGCCTCCCAGAGGGTATTTTCAAAGGTTGGTTCAAGGCCTTCCTATCAAGGTTTGCTCATCTCTGATGACATTTTAACCCATTTTCCTCAGCTTTTCCACTTTATTATTCACCCACTGTTGGTTCCTTTACCTAGGCTATATGCATCCATCTTTATTTTAATGATTTTTCTTTTTTAACCTTTTTTATAGCTTTGAGATATGTATTGCTCAAAACAAGCAAATATATACATAAATGCCTCTTCTCTCCTTCTGCCCTGTTCAGATTCTTTTAAGTGCAGTACCCACCAGCAGAAAAAGTCAAGAATACTTACCCGTGGCAGCTTTCCGGTTTAATAAGTGTGGGTGGTAAAGGCGATTGATTTTATTTTGTTCCCCAAAGACAATGGTCTTAGGTATTGAATTGATTTTACTGTGTTCATACATTTTCAGCAGGCGGTGGATTTTTATACTGATCACATGAAACTGCACTGTAGGTGTCAGGGGATGCTCAAGTTTTTGGCAGCCAGATGAGAGAAAACTGGGGCTTCTGGAATTTGGCTGGTTCTTTGAGATGGGGCAAACAGGGATAAACATATTGGACTTTTGTTTGTTTTATTAAAAACGATTGGTAATAAGTTTTTAGAAGTTGACACAAGTTATCCTTATTAGGTTTCAGAGTCAATGCCTACCGAGCTATGTGGGGGCAATCCACCTCCCTCTGAGGAATGCTTCAGGCTGCTTATAGACTCAGCAACACAATACTGTTTTAATTTCTGTTCAGCTCACATTTGATTATGGAGTGTAATGCTATGGCCAGGAGTAAATTCCACGGCAAGATACAATACATAGGGGTCCTGTCCTACATCCTTTCTGCCTACGTAAAGCTGATCTCAATTAAAACTCTGTGTATAGAACCCAAGAAGCTCTTGAATTTAGAAATGTGTCTGCAATAGATTCTGAGTAGGTAAAGATGTGCCATTTTTTGTTTACACATCATTTCTGCTTTTGAAAAGTGAGACACAAGTGCCTTCAGTTCATTTTCTCATGCTCACAAAGTAGTTACTTGATCTCTTTTTCTGTGGCAAACACACCTTCCAGACAGGGAGTTGCTTTCGGACTTCAGTGGTTCACTCCCTTCCTGTTTGAGACCAATTATGTCTCATTTGCAATACCATTAGTCAAGGAAGTGAGTATCCTGAGGTCACTCTTTAGCCCACCCTTCCTAAATGGCACTGGGATGCCTTTCTTCCAAGCCACTGGGCCATGAGGTTGGGCACTCTTTGTGGTACAATCTTGTCCAAATGAACAAGCAATATAAGCCTTTCAGAGCTGGCCACAACTGCTGCAAGTTTAAATCCTCTGAAATAATTTAAAGATGTGGCTTGAAAAAGGATGTTGCCTATTTATTAAAACAGCAAGCATGATTATACCAAGCCAATTTGCTGGTTTAACAGATGGAAACTTGTTAAAATCTTTCTTCCAATATGTTAAGAACCCAGTTTTGCTACAAATTATGAAGTATGACTTGTGAGTCAAGCCCCAGTGGAGAGGATGTCTCATAATCCACAGCTCTCAGTTTTGCGTTCAGGACTCAGGAATTTTCCTTAAAAGACTTTATTACATTTTTGTTTTCAGAAGAACAAGTCAGACTATTCAAGTGATCCCAATGGTTACCTTGGATTTTGTTTTAACTAAGGCACCCTAGAATTGATATTTTACTATGGCAAGGAGAGTAAGATCATGAAGGTTATTGGTTATTCATTTAAAGCATGATTCTACTGTGTTTAATCCTAGTGGTTAGTCCCTTCCTCTGTACATACTTTCACTGATTTTAACAGGTATACTTAACGTATCAGGTATTGTTGTGGTATAATGGAACTCTATCCAAGGATTTTTTTAAACATACTTTGGAAGATGACCAATTTAGGAATTTCTGTATGTCCAAATACTGATGGGAAAGCTAAGAAAGATACCTTAATTCCCACCCCCTATAATGTTCTGTGCTTCTGTTTTGTCCTTGTTGTATCCCAGGTGAAGATAATTCCTGCACTTCATACACAGTAGGCCCTTTTCTTCTGAGTACTGAGATGTGCTTTACAAAGAAGCCAAGTAGTGCCATCATCTTTCATCTGGGGAAACAAATGGTTCACCAACTTTCCTTAATTCAGGTACGTAGTGGTGTAGCCCAAGAAGTTCCTCCTGCCTTTACTTCTGGCCACATAAAAAAGCTGTCCCTCTTGTTGACTGCCACTCTGTCCTTCTGAACAAAGCTACACAGAAAGATACAGGGACACCAGAGAGTAAAGAAATCAATGCGAGAGGAAACAAAATAGCAGTTAAGGAGTACAAGAGGTGGGAGTGGAAGGATTTTTGGAGTCAGGGTGATAACTTGGAAGATTTTGAATTTATTGTTAATGTTCAAAATCATGAGAGTTGACTCTCTTCTACTTGACATTCAGGATTTGAACGTACTGAAATTAACAGACACATCGATTTCTATGCTGTTGTTTGCTTCTTTACTTTTTAAAAAAAAAAGTGGCCTCACCCCACTTGCTGCCTATGCTTATAATAACAAAATTGGGGAATGCATAGTAGAGGACAGGACAGGGATAAGCTAAAAATGATTAGTGGAAAAGGAAGAAAGAAAAGAAAAGGACAGTAACAGACTGTGAGGAAAAAGCAATTGTCTCTTCCATCTTTCCTTTCTGGCCAGTAGAATGCCTACTATTATAGCTGGAGAAACATTGGGATAGTGTGCTTGAGTGTGTATTGACAACATTTTATAAAAGCAGGACATTGTCTGCTGTGGTTCCCTTGCTTTATCTGTGGCAGGTTAGGGTATTAGGTCTATGTTGTCTCAAGGTTGATGGTAGTCTTATGCAGAGTTTAGATTATGGTTGTATGAGATGGTTTGGATAGGGATAATCCTACCTCAGGCAGGTGGTTAGACTAGATGACCTCTAGAGGTCCCTTCCAGCCCTACGTTTCTATGACTGTGACACTATACTCATTAATTTGCTGTAACTCAGAATGGCAAAAAGGATGGATTAGAAAAATAAATTTAACAAAAAACATTGTCAAAAGAAAACAGTAAAAGCCAAATGCCTCTTTCTTAGGTTCACTCTTCGGACTTTTAAGTATAGAAAATATCTCCAGATGGGTTCATATCTTTCTCTTTCATTCTTTTCTGAGGTGGGAGATATTTTTTCTATTCTATCTCAACTGACTTGTTAAGACATCAATGGCAATTGTCCTAACTAGTTGCTTCAGGTTTCCCATATGAACTAGAAAGGGGCAAGTCCTGCAAACCTGCTGGACTAGGCTAGGACGATAATTCAACGTGGAGCGTCTTAATCCACTGACAGCAGCAGCTGCTTTCTTCAGAAGCTTCTGTGATGTGTAAACATCCCAATGACATTTATACACATTACAGGAACTGGGGGAGATGCTTCTGTCCTGAGAGAGATTCTTTATCCAGCCACACAGGGCTTTTGTAACTAGACGCATGTCCTGCCTATGCTGCACTTTCTTTGCTTGAAGATTGGAAGCAGGAAGGATATCAAATAGCGAAGTACAAATTTATAGACAGGTATAAGATTTCAAACAACTTTGTGTGTGTTCACTGAGAGATTAATTTAAAATCAGGAGAGACAAAACCACAAGCAGGAATAATATGATAGGTTTAGTTCTCTACTTACCCACGCCAGCAAGGTTAAGCTTAATAGGATTATGCACCTGTAGAACCTGTTTAACAGATTGGGCTTTATCTATGCAGCTCTTGCTTCCACTTAACGTCTAAGAAATCATAATGTCAGTGTAAATCGTGATGTGATGTGCAGAATGCTTCACTGAAGTGATTCATGCCATATGGTCTGAGGAGCAAAATGGGCACAGTTTATTTTTAAAGAATGAGAAATATGAACTTGGAATATGCATTGCTTTGTCCTGCCAGGCTGGAGATTTGCTGCAGAGGAGGCCAGATCTTTTTTTGCTAGTTTGGTGGCATGTCACAAGAGTTTGTGGCTGCAGTCACAAACTTTTTTGTCCACACCACAAAAAGCATCATCACTTTTCACAAGTCCCATCTGAAAGCAGAGGTCAAAAGGACACTATAGAGAACACTATCCTCTCATCCCCTCTTGATTGTTTAGGGGATGTAAGATAGATCTTGATCTATCTTAATCACTATAATGATTTTTTTTCCCCTGGGGGAAGCCCCTGAGTGGCTGGTCACACAAGGGGATCAAGCAGCACACTTTTGTTGCTTTTGTGGTACACTAGTGTGCCCTAGCACACCCTTTGGGAATCACTGGAATAAACAGTGTGGCCTATTCAGAGAATCTTAACTCTGCCCTTTGGAATACTCTTCATGAGTTGTCCCAGCCGCCTGTGGAGGGTTCGGGATTGAGAGTATGGACAGGGGTAGAAAGGTAAGAAAGGTTTATTGACTTAACAAAAACACAGCTACGTGTAGTAACAAGACAATGGCAGACAAGAACAATTCGTGTTGGCAACTTATCGGCAGTCCCCTCTGATGCCTGATATACAACAAGTTTCTCTTTCCAAAAAGCTCAGCGAAGTCAGGCCTCCCCAATCAGCGCTGTCTGAGAGGTACCAGGAAGGACCCTGGTATTCAGTCCTTGGGCTCTTTGAGACCCACAGGCCCACTGATCCAGGCCACCAGCTAACTAATTCTTTTCACAGAGCTGTATCTTCCTTCAGAATGATTTCCAGATATTCCAGCCAATTTGTAGCTTCTGAACGGTACTGATAACATACAGCCACTCAGATTCCTTTTACTTCAACTGTCCTTAGACTGACCAACAGCAGTACAAGCCTTGCATTCCTTTGATAAGGTTAATTTTAACTACACCACAGGGCCTTACTACTTCAGGGCTTTGCTAAATTTACTAGGCCTTACTACATCTTAAACTTTAACTAGGCTCTTAGCAACAACATATAGCTTAAATCTAAACAAATACAGAAAAACACTTGGTCTAATCTTCATAGAGCCTTCAGCAAGCACCTTTATCACACAGACATAATTTTCAGCTGTCACAATGAGTAGAGAGATGTATCATAGTGCTTACGGTTAGAAGGGACCTAAACAGATCATCAGGTCCGTTCCCCTCCCCCTGGGCAGGAAGGGGTGCCGGGGTCATATCACCCCAGCCAAATATCTGTCCCAGCCTCCTCCTGAAGACCCCCAAGGTAGGAGAGAGCACCAACTCACTTGGGAGCCCATTCCAGAGCCTGACAGCCCTAACTGTAAAGTAATGTCTCCTGATGTCCAGCCTGAACCTTCTCTCTAACAATTTGTGGCCATTATTCCTAGTAACCCCGGGTGGTGCCTGGGGGAACAGAGCCTCCCCCAATTCCCGCTGGCCTCCCCTGGTGAGGTAGTAAAAGGCCACCAGATCCCCTCTCAGTCTTCTCTTGTGGAAGCTGAATACATTCACGCCCTTTAGCCTCTCTTTGTATGGCCTGCCCTGCTGCCCCTTGACCACGCAGGTGGCTCTCCTCTGGGCCCTCTCAATGCTAGCCACATCCCTCTTGAAGTGCGGCACCCAGAACTGGATGCAATACTCCAACTGTGGCCTGACCAGCACCCCATAGAGGGGAAGGATCACCTCCCTGGACCTGCTTGTGATGCACCTGTAGATGCATGACAAGGTGCAGTTAGCCTTACTGACCGCTCCTCACATTGGCAGCTCATGTTCATCCTGGAGTCAACAATGACTCCAAGATCCCTTTCTGCCACCATGTTGACAAGAAGGGTGTTCCCCAGCCTATCGGTGTGTTGCTGGTTCCTTCTCCCTAGATGCAGCACCTTGCATTTGTCTACACTGAATTCCATCCTATTCTCATCCACCCACCTCTGTAATTTGTCTAGATCTAGCTGGATTCTGTCCCTCCCCTCCAGTGTACCCACCTCGTCCCACAACTTGGTGTCGTCAGCGAATTTGGACAGCGTGCTTTCCACACCCACATCCAGATCGCTGATAAAGATGTTGAACATTACAGGCCCCAGGACCGAGCCCTGGGGGACTCCACTGCCCATATCCCTCCAGGTCAAAAACCACCACCACTCTCTGGGTGTGACCATCTAATCAATTTGCCACCCATGTAGATAGCCATGTTAGTCTAAAGTCAAGTACAAGGCATGGTAGATTTCGACCTTTTAGGCTAAGCAGTGTGTGTGTGTGTGTGTGTGTGTGTGTGTGTGTGTGTGTGTGTGTGTAGAACAAGCTTTTGTTGGCTGATGCTCACTTCACAACCCTTCTACTTTACTGTCTTATTTGACTTCTACTTGACTAACATGAGTCTGTAAGGTGCAAACCTACCTAGCTCAGGTACAAAAAAGTGCCTTTCCTTTGTAATGCTGCTATCAGAACAATCAAAAGCTAAGGGGGAGGTGTAGTTGCCAAGGACATTAGTGGTCCCAACAATTAAGAACACATCTTGCTGAAATATTTTCAGGCCCCCAGTCCTAGCCCTATTGAAGTAAATGGCAAAATACTTATTAAACTGTGCGCTATTTACCTTACCTCCATGAGCCAATAATCTCACAGAGCTAGATTGTCTCTCACAGGTACAACTCTGTGAGTGTGTCTACATGAGATGCTTTACTGCACAGCAGACTAATCTTCTGTAAAGTGTCAGCTTCTACACATGCGCACCATTTACTGTGCAGTAAATTAGTCTCCTGTGCAGTTAGTTACTATCTGTAAATACAGATAGTAAACTAAGTGCACCGTAGGTACCGCTCAGTAGTGCACGTGTAGATGCTGACCAGGAACAAATTTGCTCCCAGCCAACCCCAACACTAGAGGGCCACAGGGGATGGGGAACGCCCCCGTCCTGGCACTACTCGGCTCCAAGCTCCTGCCAGAAGCTGGAAGCCAAGCAGTGCCTGGATGGGGTAGCTCTCTGCCCCACTTCCCCTCCCAGTGCTGCTCAGCTCGCCATAGGACTTGGGAGCTCCCTGCTTCCCTGTGTAGCCCAGGGCTGGCCTTTCCGGGGAAGCTCCCAGCCAGCTCTGGGCTGTGCAGGGATTTCCCCAAGCAGCCTGGGGCTGGCTGGGAACTGTCCCGTCAATGTAGGCATGTTCCCAGAGAAGGCTTACTGCCAAGTATTTCACTAGGCAGTAAGCCTTTGTAGCATTAATAGCATGCATAGATGTGCCCTGTATTGAGAATAGTAGAGAGTCATACCAGCTCAGGAGGGGAAAGTACTGAAAGAGTTGCACTCCGTAGCTGGAATATATAACTCACCTCGTGCAGCTGGTCCTGTGTAGAGATAGCTTTGCTTTACTCTTTGACTTTGCCTCACCGTCCTTGGAGAACCATCTGCTCCTGAGGAAGTAATCTTGAAGCAATGCCTGTGCTCCCTTTCCAGAAACTACAATTCTAACCATAGAATGTGAGAAAGGTATTATTCCTTCTCCTCAACCACATACTCACAAGGGCTAGACAAATTGTAGCCAGGAGTAATACACTATTATAACTTTTAAAGCAAGTTAAATTCATATGATTCCTGCCTGCTGTTTTACAATTAAGGCTGCCTTCCTTGGAGACTTTATGAAGTACATAAATAAAAGTTCTCCCCACCAGATCACCCTCACACTCTTCACCAGTACTCCTTTTTGCCAAGACTAAATGGCTAAAATAAATGTGGAGTTTCTAGACCCAGAACTTCTTGGAGATATAACATAACAAAGTTAATAAAATGTCCCCGATAAAAAAGCCTTTCATTTTGACCTATCATATCTCCCATGTACCTTGTCACAAAGTTTTCAAAATAGTTCTTTCCGGATTGAAATCTATATGCAACAAGGTCAGGTGGATTGGAGTTTGGGGAGACAGAATCTAAATCAAATGCTTATAATGGGAGGCAAGCTTCAATGATAGAAAGCAGATATTTGAAACATTTACACCAGTAAAAATGTCATTATTTTGAATGGTAATGTAAGTTACTCTCATGTCTTCAGGGACACCCAGCCAGCTGTTAGGAGGTAGCTGCCTAAAATGGACACCATTTCAGCACCTCACAGTTAAACTGCAGGGAGCTAATAATATCCTATTTGCATTGTGCAAATGGCTATCCTAAAATGAAATTAAATTGAACTGCAGACACACAACATGTGTACCAGTGTATAGTCACACCTGACTATCCCAGCAGTATCTTTACTTTAGAGTAGTGGCTTCCACTGGTGTTGGTTTGTACATCATGTCTGTCCCATCTTTACACTGATATAAAGACAGATTTTACTACTGTAAATGTACCTTGTGTGTGCACCTTCAATTAAGTAGCACTAGCTACTTAATGCACAGGATTCTTAACCTGTGTAAATTGCTATATTCTGTTTTAGTTAGTGAAACTCTAATTTGCATCTGATTCTTTTGAATGTGTGGACTGGACACAAAATTGCACCAGTTTAACTGTTATTGTAAACTGATTTAGGGTACATACAGTTGTTTGGAGAGATTAGAGGAAGGTTAGATCACATTAAAAATGGCCACCCAATCTAATGTAATTTGCCCTGATGTGGACCTTACACTTAGATCCCTAGTTAGGTCAATCTAAGTGCAAACTGTATGGAAGATCAGGAAGGTTAGGTCCATCTAAAAATGACCAACCTGATCTAAGTTAACTGTACCTAGGAGGTAATTTAACTTGATTGGGTCCAGTGAGATCAATCTAATTGAACTTCTGTACAGTCCCCAGTGCAGTCCCAGGGCTGGGAAAGCCCAGCTGCTGGCCCCAGGTATAGGGCTGTGCTTTTCCTAACCCCCTACTGCCCTGGCACCGAGCTATTTTTAGCCCCCCCCCCCCGCCCAAACCCCATGCTCCACTCCCAGATGGATAACCCGTCTCACAGACCAGCCACCACCCCCACCCCCCACCACCTGCCAAACCCCCTATCCTGCAAGCTGCTCCCAGTGCCATTTTACTGGCTTTCACTGGTGCTGGGAGCCAAGGAAGTAAGCTGGGATGTTGGCAAGACTGGGAGGTTGGTTTGCTGGGAGGGTTGTTTGTCTGGGGGTGGGGGTGTTGGGAGGCTAAAAATAACCCGTGGTTCTGGGGGGGTTGGGGGGGATCTCCCTCATCCCTCCCCAAGCCTCACCACAGACCCTGCTGGTCACTCTGACCCACCAATCCCCCTAGGGACCCTGTAAGCCTCCCCAATCCCACCAGCCCCCCATGGACCTCGCTAGCTGCCTCTGATCTCCCCCCGTCCCCCATCTCAACATACTTAGATTGGGTGGCCATTTTTAAGTTGATCTAACTTCCCCCTAACCTCCCTGAATCTCTGTACATACCCTTAGTTAAACTAGTGTTATTTTGGGTGGACATCCCAATCAATTTTGAATGAATGTAAGTATGCTAACTATGGGCTTAGCATTGGGTTTAACTAAATCAGTTTTTAAACTATATTAAGTTACGTATGTGCAACCTTTGTTTGTAGACAAGTTTAAAGATCAGCATGCAAGGTTTTCCCAACAGCTCAAAGAATAGCTGTTTGTCTACAGATAGAAGTTGAACCATTTTCATTTAAACAATTTAAATTAAATCAAATAACACCCTCTGAAAACACTCCTATTTTGGCTTAAGAATACTTTATTTCATTTTAGCTTAAACCTGTCCTTAATCAATTTAAACTAAATCAATATAAGTTACTTATATTGATTGAAAAGTGTCCACATAGTATTTTGCATTGATTTAACTCAATCAATTTTAAATTACACATTTATTTAAGCCAGTACACATTTGCATATAGACAAGCTCTCAGTGTTAGACAAAAAAATTGTTAGTACTTTGAATATTTTATTCCCCTTTCTTCTCTGCTTCTATGGTCCCCTCTAGTGGTTGTTTTCTATGAAATGCATCTTTATACTGCATATTATTTAAATGAAAATATACAGGAAGAGGCATGTAGATTTGTTTGTGCTCTGCATTGAAATAGCTGTTGTGGAATCTGCTTCTCATCTCTTTACATTAGATCTGCTATTTCACCATGTTGTATATTATAAAGGAGAAAATTAATGGATTTTATGAAACTTATGCTTACTGTGTCTCTACACATTTTTATTTTTATCATGAAGAGCCTGAATACTGCTTTTCCAAGAGTAATTCCTTCTAACTCACCCCCGCCACCCTCCTCAAGTGCCCCTCACTCCCAGTCCACAGCCCCCTACTCTTCGTAGGTTCCCCAGGCCCAGGTCCCATAGCCCCCCACCCTCCGCCTCCTGCCCTCCCATCCCAGCAGTACCCAAGTGGGTGGGACCTGGTGCAAGAGAGAGCACTGAGCTACAACCCCATCTACTGATGCTGTGACCCCATTTGGGGTCGCGACCCAGAGTTTGGGAACCGCTGCTCTAAGCATGCAGCACCTTATAATATGCAATGATAAAATCCTGAAAGTGGACAATCATCTGCTTGCATTAACCACAAATTGGAAACAATTTCTTTGTACCCTCAGTAGTTAGTATCTTTGAATGCTGAATGTAACACTTGAATATATGAAGTCCCAAAGTTATGATGATGAATGCAAACTATACTAAGGTTGCAAAGTTCAGCACTCAGAAGTTATGAAATATCAGAATTAATGTGACTGATATGACCCTAGTTAGATTATTTACATATATGTATGTGTAGTAGTATGAATCAATATTAATAGAAATGTGTGGTAAAATCAAGCATAATAGGAAGTGCCTGAGGCCTCATAAAGACATTCAGTTTCTCCTCGGAGAGTTGCTGCTCTCTCAGGAAAAACTACAAGTGTACAGATGTTCATGCTTTTTCTCTCAGAGTAAAAATGCCTGTTCCAGGAAAAAATAACCTGGGAACAACCAGAGTTAAATCATTCCCAGGAGAATTTCTCCTGGAAGAGCAAATGTCTATATATGATATGGCTTCTCTCAAAAGAGAACAAAGTCCTCCTGCAGCCCCTGGCTCCAGGGAGATGGTGTTGTCACAAACTGGATTCTGCTGTTCCAGCAGGGAGCAGAACATGCCCCCTTCACAATATCCACACTGTGCTCCAGGAAAACACAGGCTGACCACAGGCAGACTGCATCAGCCAACTGGGGCTGCCTTATGCGCCGCTTCCATTTGTCACCAGGCAGACTACTAGTGCATGCTCATGTACAAATAATTTGGGAGAATACTTCCAGGTTTTTTCTCCTGCAACTTCTGTGGCAGGTCCATGGCTCACAGATCTGACTCTTAAGTAAGGCGACTGTCTTTTCAAAATGAAATGGTGGGACACATGCCCACCTTCCCACCCCCCGACAGTGGCACAGCCAGAACAGAACTGAGTGGGGTGGGGGCACATGTGGACTACCCGCTGTGGGCTATGGGGTCTCCACCCTACTGCCCTCCCCTGGGAGCCCCATGCTGGCTGCGTGCTCCCTGCCTGTCTGGCAGCAGCAGGGAGCACAGCTCCTCACTGCTGCCCCCACTGCTACTGGGCATGAAGTGGGTGCATGGCCAGCGCAGGACTCCCAGGGCAGGGAGTCTAAAATAACCCTAACCCTAACCCACACCCGTCTAAAATAACCCTAACCCTAACCCACACCTGTTGGATGAACCACCCATGGCTCTCATCATGCTCCCCACCCTGGGCCCATGCACTGCCCCAGCTAGGCAGCACTCCCACTCCTTCCTTCCCCCACCATGGAAAGGTTCAACCTGTCCCTCTCCCTAACTTACCTGCAGGAAGCTGCTCTCCATGGTGCCCAGCTGTATTCCCCGCCACACGCATGTATGTGGGCGTGCACATGCACATGGTGCCCCATGTGTCTGCTCCCAGCTGCAAACTGGAGCGCAGGGGCCTGCAAATCTGGGACAGATGCTGCCCTGGAGTCGTGCAGCCCCTGGACCTGATGGTCCCGTCCTGGGCCTGTCCCGCCCAAGCAGGGACTGGTGGTCACCGCCACGCACCTGTGCTGTGCTGTGCTGTGCTGTGCTGTGCTGTGCTGGAGAGATCGCCATAGAAAAGTGGGGCTGGGAGGGACCTCCAGGGGTCATCCAGTCCGGCGTGGCTGCACCCGGGAAGCGGGGTGCAAGAACGTAGGCAAAGGTCGTGAGCAAACTTTGAAAGTGAATTCTTCTTTAGAGGGGAAAAAAAGTGGGAAACGTGGCTGTTCCCTTGGGGGCTGGCAGCCTGCCGGGGGCTGCTCGGGGCCCGCGGGGGCGGGGGCGGCG